TCTCTCTCTCTCTCTCTCTCTCTCTCTCTCTCTCTCTCTCTCTCTCTCTCTCAGCTTTTTGCTGTTTTGTTTTTTCTGGACATCGATGCAGAAGCATGAATTATTTGTGTGGGCTGGGTGAGGTATTAAATCTGCAGCTGACACAGGTTTGCAATGTTTTGCATGGTTGTCAGCTTAATCTTAGTCATAAAAAAATAAGTAGTGTGCTCGGCAGCGTGGCCTAATTTTTCAGCTGGGCTGTTTTCTCCCTGAGTTCCCAGTGGAGGTGAAGGCAGAGCTTTAGGGGCTAGAAGGGAGGGGCTCCCAGGAAGGCATAGCCCATACCCACTGGGGACTGTTAAGGGCATGGGGCCAGGGGCACACTCCAGGAAACGGAGTGGCTAACAGCATAGGTTCTGCGTTTGAGTCCTATATGACCTTGGGCAAATGACTTAACCTCTCTTTAATCGTCAGTATTCTCTTGATGGGAGTAAGTAACTATAAGGTCATTATAGGGATTAAATGAGATGACCCATGTGAGTCATCTAATAGTGACTGGGTTGTAGTAGGTGCTCAAAATATATCTGATGAATGCATTAAAGTGTTGATGTTAGCTGGCTGCCTCTAAAAGTCTATCTGCTCTTCCTGCAAGAATGTCGATGGCTTAATGAAAGCTTGTTTGCCTTTATCCTGAAACCAACTGCCACTGGCCAGGTCACTTCCCCTGCTGAGTGAAGGTCCTTGCCCTGAGCTTGAGAGAGGGGACTTCTTTTCTTTTTTTTTTTCGTGTCCGGCAACGGATCGCAACCCTCAGCGTCGCGCCCGCACTGGACCGGGACCGGCAACGGGATCGCAACCCTCGGTACCGTGCCTGCACCTCGCCCAGCCAGTGAGCGGGAGCCGGTCTGCATGTGGGATCCGAACCCTCAGCGGGAGCGCCGCCGCGCTCCCAAGCAGCGCACTGCAGCAGTGCGCCACCGGGCCAGCCGAGAGAGGGGACTTCTGAGATGGGGCTTGAAAGGGCTCCTGACTCCTTGAGTGGAAGCTTGTGGGTCCTGGTCAACCGCTGGTACCCTGAGAAGGCCCAACTACAGGCCAACGAAAACTCTGGAGGCCTTTGTTCCACTGAGGGAGGCATTGGAAGGGCCATTTTCTTTCTGCAGAGCACAATCTGCCTTCCTGCAATTCTCAAACCACTGGTCCTCAAGCCACTCAGTAGTTCAATCCATCTTTTCATGACAGCCTTTTGAATCCCTGAGGCTGCGCTCACATCCCATCAACACTTTCTTTTTCTAGTATCTGTGGCCCCAACTTTCAACTATATTCTTGACGAGGTTTTGAAATCCTTCATCCATTCAAGTCACCCTCCTTTAGACTCATTCTAGCTTGTCATGTCTGGAAGCGAAGTGTCATGTGTGGAAATAAATACAGTGTGTGGTCTAACCAGTGCAGCTCACAGAGGGACTATGATCTCTCTTGTTTGGGACACTTTATTTCCATTATATCTGTCATCAAATTGTCCATTGCTTGTAACTGCATCATACTACCAACTCATACCACACTCCCTCTGTCAACAAAATCTCCCTCAAGCTTTCTCCCATGGGCTTCCCTTAGACTATTTTCCCCCATCTAGCATGTACTGTTGATTATTTGGAGCTAAGAGCAGAACTCTGCATTATCTGGCTAGTGTTTCAGGCAGTTTGGATATTTCTGAAATCTGACTCTGGCATCCATTATATTGGCATTCCTTCCTGACTTCACATCACTGACAAAACTGATAAACTCACCAGCGATGTTCTCATTGCAGGTTTTGATTAACCAGTGAACAGGACAGGTCTAGGCAGACAGGCTGACAGACTGACATCATTACTCTTTGGATATGCTCATCTAACCAGTTATAAACCAACTCAACCTTCCCATCACCAAGCCCCTCCTCACCCTCCTGGATGCTCTCTGGACATTTCTTTCTTGCCTATAATGATGGCAGAACATTCTCAAATGTCTTGCTAAACCCCGCCTATATAAGGTCCATGGGACTTCCTTTGTCTACCAAGCAGGTATGCATTTCTAAAAAGGCCGTGAGGGTGGTCTGGCAAGCCTGACTCTCAGGGCTCACTGTTTCCCTGAGAGTGTTCGCAGCCTTCTTGCTGAATAACCTAGTCCAGAATTTCCCATGAGAGTGACACCAAGCTCACTAGTCTAGAGGGTGAAAGATTCTTTTTGCATCCTGAAACTTCTGAATGCTTCCAGTCTGCCAACACCTCTCCCTCCTATTCCCTCAAAGATTGCTGACACCAGCTTCATGAATCTCATCTGCCAATTCTCCTGGGGCTCTGGGGCACAAATACGTGTGGCTCAGGAGATCTGAAAGCATGGCTTCAATCCTTTCATCAGTGCCTGTGTGACCCTGCCTCGCCTGATAACCACTTGTTCTGAAATGGAGGCACAACAGAACTCAAATAAAGTTT